TTGTTACAACCAAGTACACATTTTACTGTTGAGTTAAACAGAGGCTACAGTTAAGGAATTGCGCCCAGTAAATCCTCCCCGGCCAGGATACGAACCCATGACATAGCGCTCGCGGAACGCCAGGCGAGTGTCTTACCACTACACCACGGAGACTGTAAATATAGCTTAACAAAATACACAAAGAAAAAATAAAAGTAATTATGGAAAATATATTCTGCCTGAGTCAGTAAGGTAACAGGTGTTAACAACAGAAAAATAGACAATAGCTAACTGACCAGTTGGAAAGAATATATATCAGTAACCAGGCAGCAACCTTGCAAGCTTAATTGGTAGTAATACTGGTGCACTCAATAATTATTGGCAACACTGTAGTACTAATTAATGAGATAATTAAGAAGCCAGCTTAATTATTTTAAACTTCCTTTCTTCACTACCAGCATTAAACGGATTACTCTCAAATAATAACGTATTTGTCTCCAAAGTCAGACGTAGATATATAAGCACACTTAATAAGGGATCAAATTCAAAATGTTGTGGATTCTCTCTCATATTGGCCTGCAGGAACATGATAAAGTTGGCGCCAATTACTAAGACTGCAATAAATAATGTTGAACATAAGCTTCATCTATCTCATAGATGCATTAAAAATGCCATCAGACGAGCGCTCTTGGATGAATTTGAAGAAAGCAAAATACTGCACACAGGAACTAGCAGATCTACTGTTTACCACTGTGAGATGTGTTGAACAACTCATCTCTATGTAGCAAGTGACAACCTCACTAGACTAACTGTCCTCGTCACAGCTCCTACACATCTTTCGTCCCTCCAATCCTCTCCCTCTTTCCTACCATCCCACACTGTCTCTCTCCCTCTGTAACACCTCCCTAGACCCCCCCCCCCACCTCCCACACACACCTCGCAGTTTTTTCACACACTTTGCCTCAGGTTTAATAGATTTATATGACCAAGCAACAAAAATTAGGCAAGAAAGAGAAGAGTAGGCAGACTGCATTTTCTTGGATTGTCTGAAAGCCCTTGACACAGTACCTCACAAAAGGCTGTTACAAAAGTTGGAGCAACAGGCATGAGTAAAAGGGAAGGTGCTCCAGTGGATAAGGGAGTATCTAAGCAACAGGAAACAGTGAGTAACTGTGAGGGGGGAGACATCAGAGTGGCGAGATGTCACCAGCGGAGACCCACAGGGAACTGAACTTGGACCCCATCCTGTTTCTAATATATGTAAACGATTTTCCAGAGGGTATAGACTCATTCCTCTCAATCTTTGTTGATGATGCAAAAATTATGAGAGGAATCAAGACAGATGAAGATAGACAGAGACTACAGGACGACCTGGACGAACTGGAGGAATGGTCTAGAAAATGGCTACTAAGGTTCAACTCAGAAAAGTGTAAAGTAATGAAATTAGGCGAAGGGAGTAGAAGACTGAACACAAGGTATTCACCTAGTTGTGCTTGCGGGGGTTGAGCTCTGCTCTATCGGCCCGCCTCTCAACTGTCAATCAATCAACTGTTACTAACTACTAACTAACTTCCCCCCCCCCCAGGATGCAGCCCGTAACAGCTGTCTAACTCGCAGATACGTATTTACTGCTAGGTAACAGGTGCATCAGGGTGAAAGAAACTCTGCCCATTTGTTTCTACCGGCCCCGGGAATCGAACCCCGGTCCACATGACTTCGTATCAAGCGTGCTGTCCACTCAGCCACCAGCCCCTGTGTAGCAGGTGGCTACACAGGGGCCTCCGGCTAGTACTAAGTAGCCCAGATAGTACCATTTGGGAGGTGAAGTCCTGCAAGAGTCTAAATAGAGAGAAAGATCTGGGGGTTGATATCACACCGAACCTGTCCCCAGAGGCCCACATCAAAAGGATATCATCAGCGGCACATGAAAGACTGGTAAACATAAGAACTGCCTTTAGAAACTTGTGTAAGGAATCGTTCAGGACCCTGTATACCACTTATGTCAGACCAATCCTTGAATATGCAACTCTAGCTTGGAGTCCATACCTAGTTAAACACAAGACAAAGTTAGAGAAGATTCAGAGGTATGCCACCAAACTTGTCCTGGAACTGAGAGGTATGAGCTACGAGGAAAGGCTAGCGGAGCTGAACCTCACGTCCCTGGAAAACAGAAGAGTAAAGGGAGACATGATAACCACCTACAAAATTCTCAGGGGATTTGACAGGGTGAACAAAGACAAACTCTTTAGCATGGGTGGAACACGAACAAAGGGACACAGATGGACACTTAGTACCCAAATGAGCCACAGAGACATTAAAAACAAATTTTTCAGTGTCTTAGTAGTTTACAAATGGAATGCACTTGGAAGTGACGTAGTGGAGGCAGACTCCATACACAGATTCAAATGTAGACACGATAGTGCCTAGTAGTGTTATGACCCCATGTAGCCTGGGTGAAACGAGTTATTCTGCCTTCTGGGCCTGATTGAGAGGTCAGAGGAAAGATGTATGTGTTAAATATATAATAAACGTCAGTGAATAATTAGCAAATATGAGTAGAGGAAGAGCATTTAAATAAGTGACATGAATTGACATGTCGATACTTTGGTGACATGGCGTGAGGCTAGCAGGCCGTCGTGACCTTATTTGAGTCACAGCAGTCGTCAGAGAGGGTTGTACTTTGTTGATCTCCTGGCAGAAGGAAGAACTCTAACTGTGTGCTCCTTCAAGAGCAGGGAATAAAACAAGCGTTTATGTGTGAAGCCTGTTGGGCCACTTAATGCACTCAAGTCAGAAGCAGAAGAGCTGTGAGACCATCATAAAGAAACTTTGTCGGATGTCTTAGAGGACGATATTTGGGAGCCGCAGCTGAGTGCCCTCGAGGTACAATTTCTGTAGTTTGTGTGGGAGAACTGCAACGTTTGTGTGGGAGAACTGCAACGTTTGTGTGGGAGAACTGCAACGTTTGTGTGGGAGAACTGCAACGTTTGTGTGGGAGAACTGCAACGTTTGTGTGGGAGAACTGCAACGTTTGTGCGGGAGAACTGCAACGTTTGTGTGGGAGAACTGCAACGTTTGTGTGGGAGAACTGTAACGTTTGTGTGGGAGAACTGCAACGTTTGTGCGGGAGAACTGTAACGTTTGTGCGGGAGAACTGCAACGTTTGTGTGGGAGAACTGCAACGTTTGTGTGGGAGAACTGCAACGTTTGTGCGGGAGAACTGCAACGTTTGTGTGGGAGAACTGCAACGTTTGTGTGGGAGAACTGCAACGTTTGTGTGGGAGAACTGCAACGTTTGTGTGGGAGAACTGTAACGTTTGTGCGGGAGAACTGCAACGTTTGTGCGGGAGAAGTTAGTGAGAGAACTTCGTATCAGAGGAGGAATATGAGCTGAACAGCAAGATGGTGCAGGACTTCAAGTTGAAGAGTGGAACTCCTGAAACACTGTGAATCTTAGAGTAGTGAAGGGAGCTACACCTCGTTTGTGTGAAGCGTTTGGAGAGAGCTTCACTGACATTGAAGGAGGACTTCATGTGCAGCTGATTGGAGGAACTGCAGGAGTACCTTACACGATGTTTTGAGGACCCAGATGATGATTGTAGTAGGGGACCTCGAGTAATGGAACAGAGGAAACATGGACCTTGACGTTTAAGGGAGTGCTTGATTGCGTTTTGGCATGAAAGGCGCAGTGCAAGCTTAGAGTTTGATTTTTTGTAGAGTAGGAAATATGTGAAAATATTTATTGTGCCATGTATTGTAGCCTAAAGCAGTGAAAGGGGCAGAAGGCTGTAGACTGAAGTTTAAGCAGCAGCCTGATACAGTTATAGGTTGGAGACATAAGGCGATATTGGAGTGTTATCAGTTGGTAGCAGCCTAAGAGGTCGTATTGTTTTATAACTTTTTCTGTATGTATATTGTGTATGTTTTATTGTATAAAATGTTATATTTGTTAGCTGGCTTTTGCTCTCGTCCTGGTGAGGCTTCCTGGCTAGAGAGAGAGAGAGAGAAAGACACGGCTATAACTTGGATAATAGTGGACTATAACTAACTAAGGGGGATTGAGAGATCATCCCACAGTAAGGAGAGTGCAGGGAGTCACAGCGGCTCGAGAGTGGGTGTGTGTACTCATGACAACTAGGCAGTGTGAACCGTTCCCTTGAATAAAGGTGACGCTGTACCCCTCTCCCAGAACCAGACGTTTACCAAGGTGATCTCCCAAATAATTGCAAGCACTCCAGTGTCCATTGCTGGTTGATCGACGGTAGCAGGAGTGTGGCTGCCGAGGTCGGTTGTTTGTTCTGTCAGGGAGTGGTTGGAGTCTCTGTTCGATGGTAAGCTAGTATCAGGTTGGTTCTAATAGCAAAGTTTATGGTATATAAAGAAACCCCCCAACCCCAACCCCCTCCTGATAGTAGACTCAAGAATCTGTACACCAGTTGATTGACGGTTGAGAGGCGGGACCAAAGAGACTAAGTTCAACGCCCGCAAGCACAACTAGGTGAGTACAACTTGGCTACAGGTACGTCTGGCAGTCTGTACAGGGATCTAGATGAAGTAAAGTTATGTATTAACAAAAGACCTACCATCAATGTATCATAATTAATTCTAATGAAAGAAATGTCTGTAACTAACTGACATGATAATTATATGGTGTGTATTTGTAGATGTAATTGTTAATGTAAAAATCTCCACTGAGATTTGATTTAGACCTTTTATGCCTTGTGTAATTCTTTTGTGCGCTACCGCACACAGGATGAGTATAGGGTGAGCAATAAACTAACCGGTTGGGAAATTAGAGTCAATTTATTAGGGCTTTAAGGATTTTACAAGGAATATAACAAGGACAGAAGCATTTATGCAAATTATTATGTGTAAGGCAGGAAGGTTATTACAAAGGACAGAAGACATAGGACATGTGTTCTGGTCTTCTAGTTAGAGAAGACAAAGGCCTTTAACCTGTAACACTTGTATGAGATTTACACGCTGTAGATACATCTGTATGACTAAAGTTTCCCGTGCAGGTGAACTGGGCGGCTACACCGGCGTCTTCCTCGGCTGCTCCTTCATCACCTTGATCGAGATGTTCGTCTTCGGTGTGCTCTTCTGCACGGTCATCGTCAGCAACATCAGAGCCAGACTCTGGGGCAGTGTAGATCCATCTCCATCAATGTTCCCTTAATAAATGGAATAACTTCTTCCAGACCAGTATGGTTACACAGGGAGACGATAGCAACGCTTCCAGACATGTATGGATGCACCAGAAGACACCAGCAACACTTCCAGAGTGTACGGATACGCCAGAAGAAGCCAGCAAGACCTCCAGACTGTGCGGATACACCAGAGGAGGCCAGCAACAATTCCAGACATGTACGGTGTTATCACCTCCGCTTGGTAACCTGGCTCGTGCCTGCCACAGGAATACTTTTTGCTCAGGCATAGTACATTTACTACCCTCAGGAGTATGACCCCCATAATCCCTATGATAAAAATATGCATTTGGTACCAGGAGGTATTGAAGGGAGGGATACAAACACAAATATAAAATGTAACGTATAATAACATAATTTTATATCTGACAGAAATTATAATAGGCTCAATGATCACAATGATATATATATATATATATATATATATATATATATATATATATATATATATATATATATATATATATATATATATATATATATATATATATATATATATATTGTGACGGTAAAGCGTTGGTGTTCGGCTGTTTCAAAAGCTAGGGGCAGGGCCTCGTCACATAATAGAAAAAAAAGAGAAAAGCTGGAGCTTTCGTCTGTGGTAAGGTAATGGGAAGACACACAAAACACAAGTAAATTAACAATGAAATTTTAATTACTCTAGAAAAACAAGACATGAATAAAGTTAATCACATAAAAATATGAAAGACAAGTCAACAAACAAAATATGAATAATCACTGGCAAATGAAAAGTTACGTTAAGACAAGTGAGTTACAGTGATAGCAAAATAAAATATTAGTGGTGCTGGAATACCGGCTTCGAGCTGCCACCTCCCTTAGTACACGAAAGCCAAGGCTTAGTCTACCAGCGAGAGATGTCAACTGCTTGGAGCACTGAGATATTCTGACAATATTATCGCACTGCAGCCCAAACGTCAACTTGTGGTGGAGGCGGAGGGCAGGTGCGACGGGACACCAGCCAATGAGCGACAGGCAGACAAAGGATGAGCAGTTTGCTGGTTACGGTGGCTCGTAGCAGGTGTCACTGTGTGCTGGGTACGATTTGCTCTCTGGGCAAAACGTTTGGCGATACTTGGTGGGCGTATCTTCTATATTATCTTGTATATTGACGTACTTTGTAGGGAAGAGCAGGCTCAATCTCTCTTGAAAGAGATTATCGTCACAATATTATATATTTGTCAAGCCACCTGCTATCGCTGTATCTATCGATGATTTCTGTGTTGTTTGTTAAGACTTCTCTTAACAAACTGTTAAGACTAGAGAAGTCTTCTCTTAACAAACTTCTCTTCTTGTTAAGACTTCTCTTAACAAACTGTTAAGACTAGAGAAGTCTTAACAAACAACACAGAAATCATCTATAGATACAGCGATAGCAGGCGGCTTGACATCTGCGAGGCCCTACACATCAAAATGTCAACACCAGCAATCAACAACCAATTAATGCACAACTATATTCTACCCACTTCAAGACTCCGTACCAATATAGAAGCATCAAGAGGAAGTATGGGCCAATAGGCCCTTTGCAATTACTTCCATTCTTCCCTCTCATTTATCCAATTTATACCCATTGTACCGTGTTCTGTCTTGTGATGGTCAAAAGTTTGCTTCCCTCATCCAAAACTGTTGCAACATATCACCTCACCCAAATACGAGTATATAAGACAAGCTGTTCAATGTTAGCATTAAGTAAAACTCTGTTTATTGTTTTCATATATATATATATATATATATATATATATATATATATATATATATATATATATATATATATATATATATATATATATATATATATATATATATATCGTACCTAGTAGCCAGAACGCACTTCTCAGCCTACTATGCAAGGCCCGATTTGCCTAATAAGCCAAGTTTTCATGAAATTATGTTTTTTCGACAACCTAACCTAACCTAACATTTTAGGCTACCTAACCTAACCTAACCTATAAAGATAGGTTAGGTTAGGTTAGGTAGGGTTGGTTAGGTTCGGTCATATATCTACGTTAATTTTAACTCCAATAAAAAAAATTGACCTCATACATAATGAAATGGGTAGCTTTATCGTTTCATAAGAAAAAAATTTGAGAAAATATATTTATTCATGAAAACTTGGCTTATTAGGCAAATTGGGCCTTGCATAGTAGGCTGAGAATTGCGTTCTGGCTACTAGCTACGACATATATATATATATATATATGTATATGTCGTACCTAGTAGCCAGAACGCACTTCTCAGCCTACTATGCAAGGCCCGATTTGCCTAATAAGCCAAGTTTTCATGAATTAATTGGTTTTCGACTACCTAACCTACCTAACCTAACCTAACCTAACTTTTTCGGCTACCTAACCTAACCTAACCTATAAAGATAGGTTAGGTTAGGTTAGGTAGGGTTGGTTAGGTTCGGTCATATATCTACGTTAATTTTAACTCCAATAAAAAAAAATTGACCACATACATAATGAAATTGGTAGCTTTATCATTTCATAAGAAAAAAATTATAGAAAATATATTAATTCAGGAAAACTTGGCTTATTAGGCAAATCGGGCCTTGCATAGTAGGCCAAAAAGTGCGTTCTGGCTACTAGGTAAGACATATATATATATATATATATATATATATATATATATATATATATATATATATATATATATATATATATATTGAGTGAGGTGGGAAGGATGATGTGGCATTAGAGAATATTAATAGGGTATTAAAAGTATCAACACAAGACAGAACACGAAACAATGGATATTGAATAGAAGTGTTTGTAGAAAGCCTATTGGTCCATATTTCTTGATGCTTCTATATTGGAGCGGAGTCTTGAGGTGGGTAGAATATAGTTGTGCAATAATTGGCTGTTGATTGCTGGTGTTGACTTCTTGATGTGTAGTGCCTCGCAAACGTCAAGCCGCCTGCTATCGCTGTATCTATCGATGATTTCTGTGTTGTTTACTAGGATTTCTCTGGCGATGGTTTGGTTATGGGAAGAGATTATATGTTCCTTAATGGAGCCCTGTTGTTTATGCATCGTTAAACGCCTAGAAAGAGATGTTGTTGTCTTGCCTATATACTGGGTTATAATATGGACCAATAGGCTTTCTACAAACACTTCTATTCAATATCCATTGTTTCGTGTTCTGTCTTGTGTTGATACTTTTAATACCCTATTAATATTCTCTAATGCCACATCATCCTTCCCACCTCACTCAAATGTAATGCCACATCACCCTTCCCACCTCACTCAAATGTAGATATATATATATATATATATATATATATATATATATATATATATATATATATATATATATATATATATATATATATATATATATATATATATATATATATATATATATATATATATATATATATATATATATATATATATATATATTAATATGAACATGGAGGTTCGAAACGTTGTGCAAATTATATAAATAAGTGTAATACACTCTATAGTAAATCACTTCTTTTCTTCACCTCAAAAGTACGAAAATGAGTTTTGGAGAACTCCTATTTCAATTAAGCCCTGATGCTAAGAAAATAGTTAGAGGGATAGAAGCCCTAAACCAGAAAATAATAAACACAGAATATGCGGTCATATTCAATGAAACATGTTTGAAAGAAAACCTGCTGCCAGTATACACCAATATATATATATATATATATATATATATATATATATATATATATATATATATATATATATATATATATATATATATATATATATATATATATATATATATTAGGTTATATATATATATATATATATATGTCGTACCTAGTAGCCAGAACGCACTTCTCAGCCTACTATGCAAGGCCCAATTTGCCTAATAAGCCAAGTTTTCATGAATTAATTATTTTTCGACTACCTAACCTACCTAACCTAACCTAACCTTTTTTCGGCTACCTAACCTAACCTAACCTATAAAGATAGGTTAGGTTAGGTTAGGTAGGGTTGGTTAGGTTCGGTCATATATCTACGTTAATTTTAACTCCAATAAAAAAAAATTGACCTCATATATAATGAAATGGGTAACTTTATCATTTCAAAGGAAAAAAATTAGAGAAAATATATTTATTCAGGAAAACTTGGCTTATTAGGCAAATCGGGCCTTGCATAGTAGGCTGAGAAGTGCGTTCTGGCTACTAGGTACGACATATATATATATATATATATATATATATATATACATATATATATATATATATATATATATATATATATATATATATATATATATATATATATATATATATATATATATATATATATTATATATATATATATATGTGTGTGTGTATATCACGAAAATAAACACGTGATTAAGAATGTGACAATGTCAGACCACGGAGGAAAATGAAACAGGAATTTCCTTAAGTACTTTCGTATATTAAATACATCTTCAGAAGGAATGATTTTACAGATCGAGTGATGGGTATAAATAGGCAGGAGAGAGTGGTGAAGTAAGGTGAGGTACAATACTTGGACAACGCAGACGGCCCATTGGCCCATCAGATGCAGCCAATTGGCCCATCCGATGTAGCCCAATGGCCCATCTGATACAGCAGACATACAAGCACAATACATAGGTAATTATAACATAAAGAGGTAAATATATACAATGAATTAGTGAGACAAATGTTTTCCAATGATCCTACTTAAAATCTTCCCTACTTCCCACTTCCAACCAGTTATCCTACCAGAATATCCCACCAGGATCCTACTTCCCACCAGCTACTGACGTGGTGAAGCTCACCTCAAGGCTCCTCTGGTACTTCCTCAGAGCTACTACCCGGCAAACACACACTCCAATTACACACACTACTATCGAAAGTAACCACTATCCAAACAGACACAATCACACTAATATAATGTTTCATACACTCTAATAATATAACTAAAAGTATAAACATTCTTAATTGGCTTAAACATTTGTCTTT